TCCCATCTCTTCTCTTCCCTTGCTTGGCAACTCTCAACGCGCCGCCTTGAAACAACCCACGCCAAAAGCCACTAGTCAAATGTCCAAGTAACTTGCGACATTGCACACGCTCCGATTAAGATTAAGAGGCACTTGCTGAAACACGCAAAGAGAGCCACGCTCAGCTCCAAGACATCAATTATCGATTTCTAGTTCTAGTTGGTGACCCACCACCTGTGGTTCTCCATGTTCAGTCGACGGCACAAGAGTCAGCATCACGTCGACGGCCGCCGGAAGAAGCAGGATATATCAAGTGCTCTCGGTGACCTTGGCATCATTCCCAGTCCACGGTCAGCAAGGTCGGCTGGCCCTAGGTTTAGGCCTGAAAGTAGTGCAACGGATGCTCCGTTCCATCTTGAGGGTATGCATCTCATCTTCCGCGCCAGCCTTATATACGCCCCCCCAAATACTATGCGTCGCGACTCGTTCCCCTAACACCCCCCCCTCCTCCTCCATCTCCTCTTTCCTCCACCTGACAATGACTACTTCTCACTTTCAATCCTCTTCAGCAGAGTCGCTAACCCTTGACTCCCTTCAGGCCATTCTCCTAGCAATCCAGCCTCACGCAGCACCGTTTCTCTCCAGCGAGGACGGTCTGCAAGCACTACAAGTACCTCCACATCTAGAAGAGTAGGGGGTATCGACAACAACGTTATGTCGAGCAGCGCGGATCGAGGCCGCATGCGGCGGGATAGGACGTTCGTCGGCAGCGAATGTGCTGTCTGCGAGGAACCATTGGAACACACGCTGCGAGGCGAGCGCATCCTGCAGTTCTCTTGCTCGCACGTCTCTCATGAAGCCTGCTTCTACGAGTTCATCCGCGAGATGGAGGCACAATACTGCCCAACCTGTGATGCCCCGCTACATCTCGACTCCAGCCGAGGCGGCAATGTCCTGGACATCAGTTCGTCATCTAGACGCACGGAAACGCAGAAGCATGCCGCTAATTCAGAGGTAGACAAAATCAGCAACATGGTGCGTACTGCCGGCACCGAGTCAAGGGCTGGTACCGTCACTCCTGCGCCCACCTGGGAGAGCCAGGGAGCGCCCAGTGTAGATACCCAAAGGCGTCAACAGTTGACGCATACTCCGAGTGTTGGCAGGACGAGCCAACGCGATGTTAGGGACAACAGTTCAGATCGCTATGGTTCCGCGAGGCATGCACATGCTCGCAATGACAGTACTGGCATGGCCTCGTCCAACGGCTATCCCGAGACCGCACAGAGCGGCTCTCAATGGCGCCACGAATACGACGTCCAGACAATGGAGACGACACCCAGCAGCCCTCGCGCCGCTACGAGAAACCCTATTCCGCCTCCGATTGTTACCGTTCGCTCAGAGTTTCCCACCGTCAGCAGATCTCGCCAGCAGCAGACGCTCACGTGCCTCGTTACCGTCGAAGTTCCCGACAACAAATGGAGACCAGACCCCGAGGATATTGGCTCGCCGGTGCAGTCGCAATTGGCTGTTAACCCGGGCGTTCCCGAGACGGCCCCTCGCGCTGTATCGCCTGCTCCGACGCCGACGCCCAACGCCCCGCGCTTCCATCCTTACGAGTCCCCCGAGGTTTTGGAGGAATTAACGGAAAATCTACGAAGCCGCGTCGATAACTGGCATGGGCTAGAGTTCAACAGGTTTGGGCAGCTGAGACTGTGCGGTACATTACGGGTGGGCAAAGATAAAGTCTCTTGGCAGGAGCTCGAGTGCTATCTCTTCTCCGAGATGCTCATTTGTGTCAAAGAGAAGAAGCTCCCGCCGCATTGGGACGAGTCTGGTGCTCAACGAAAGCCAGCTACCCGTTGCACACTCAAGGGATCCATCTTGATAAAGAAGCATCTCAATGACGTGACGGAGACGGGAGCCATTGACGAGAATGTCCTAACACTCAACCTCTCTGTACTCGAACTGCCACAATTCCATCTCAGATTCGACAATCGCAATCAACTCAAGCTGTGGAACCAAGCTCTGCTGGACCTAAACGCAGTCGAATTTCCTCCTTCTCTTCGAAGCCCCGATCTCGACCGCGGCGAGTTCTCCGAGACGGATGAGGACGGGGAATGGAATAGGGCTGGCCAGCAACGTGTGTCCTCTATCGCCTCTTCTTGGGGCCACAAGTCTGGTACGACTGCGCCGACCGAGTATACCAACGTGCAAAGCAAGTCCATTCGCCTTCCCAACGCTGTTCACGTCCCGATCGACGTTGTTGTGGTTGTCCCCATTTCTTCGTCAATGCAGGGTGTTAAAATCAACCTCGTCCGTGACGCGCTGAAATTCATGGTCAGCACGCTCGGCGAGAGAGACCGCATGGGCCTTGTCACTTTTGGTTCCGGTGGTGGTGGCGTGCCAATTGTTGGCATGACCACCAAGGCTTGGCCTGGTTGGTCCAATGTCCTGGGCTCAATCAAGCCCGTTGGACAGAAGAGCCATCGCGCTGATGTGGTCGAAGGTGCCAACGTTGCTATGGACCTGCTGATGCAGCGAAAGCACAACAATCCCATTGCCACCATTCTGCTCATCAGCGATGTGTCAACTTCCGACGCTGATTCCGTGGACTTTGTCGTCTCTAGGGCAGAAGCTGCAAAGTAAGTTGAAATACTCATCTCTCAAATTCACACAGTTCTAGAACAGGATATCCTAACAAAGAACCCACCGTATAGGATCACTATTCACTCCTTTGGGCTGGGAATGACCCACAAGCCTGACACAATGATTGAACTCTCTACGAGGACCAAGGCATCTTACACATATGTTAAGGACTGGATGATGCTGCGGGAGTGTTTGGCTGGGTGCTTGGGCAGCATGCAGACCCTGTCTCACCAGAATGTCAAGCTCAAGCTCAAGCTTCCAGAAGGGTCTCCTGCCAAGTTCCACAAAATCAGCGGCGCTCTGCAAATCACCAAGCGGGCAACGGGGCGGGACGCCGAGGCATCACTCGGTGACTTGCGGTTTGGAGATAAGCGAGATGTGCTGGTGCAGCTCGTCATCCTCCCCGATACCACTTCTCAGGAGACGCTTGCTCCGGACCCATGGGACAATATCGTCTCTGGGCTGGAGGCTCTTGGAGGTTCGATTGATACCGATACCGAAAGGACCCTTTCGGTGGAAGAAGTGCCACTTATCCAGGCTGATCTCACCTGGGGCGACATCTTGAGAGATGGCACCACTGCTCAGATGCCTCGGCCATCTCTTCTAGCCATTACCATGCTGCCGGCAAACCTTAGTCAGAAGAACAAATGGCAGAACACGCCGCCCATTCCTCCACACCCAAGCGTGGTCCAGAGGCGAATGGAGCTGCTCACCTCGGACATGCTCACGCGTGCCCTGACTCTTGTAAGCCGTGGCCAGCATGACCGCGCTCATACGCTGTTGAACGAAACGCGCTCCATCCTCAAGGGCCTCGGCAAGGGTGGTCTGCCTCCTGTGCCTCCCAGCAAATCGCTACCCTCGACACCGCACCCAGGCAACGAAGGGTCCCCAGCATCTGGAACGCCAGACCGGAAGCGCAGCCCGTCGCCCACGTCGGCAACGTCCTCCTCCGGGAATGGCCTGCCTGGCACTGCCCTTGGTCCTCCTCCTCCACTAGGTCGATCGCGGTCCACGGATGGACTGACACTCGGCGTCGGCATCGACGCCACGACGGTTGCTGCTCTCGATGCTGAACTCGAGAGCAGTCTGGAATGGATCAATCATCCCGCCGTGTTCGGCCGCGACAGTCGTAAGGCGGTTCTCCAAGCAATCGGCGTTATAAGCTCGCAACGTGCTTTTACATCGCGCAGCCCCATCGAAAGCTTGTGGTCGACCCGGATTGGTGGCATCAAGCGCCTTGCGGAACGCAGCCGAGAGTGGAGGGAAGAAGGTGGCGGCGAGGGCGGAATCACAGAAGAGGCATGATTCAACTGTCTCCTGGTCATGAGCGAATGACAATCTCGTACGTTTCGTTTATAGCATGGCCATGGCGTTTGGGGGGCTGGCTTTTTGCTTTTTGCTTTTGCTTTTGCTTGCCTGTTTTGTTTTCTTTGCGATTTCTTCAACGATCTCATGGATATTTTTTTTTTTTTTTTGGAAGAGTATTCGGATTCCCTTGGAACGTCTCGACGTATTCATGACATTTCTTTGCACAAGATATCTTATTTACCGACTTGCTGGTGAGAACCACCACGCATTAGAGATCTATGACGCTGCAACCTTTTCCCGCACAAAAGTATACCCCCTCAAGGCACGCACACACACGGTCTCTCTACTCTTTCTAGTAGTGAGAAACGACTCTCTCGTGTTTGTTTCCTAGCTTGTTTCCTAGCTTGTTTCTGGTCTTTTTTTTTTGGTCACGTTTTTTCTATCTTAATTTTGCGATGCAAGATGATGGCCCTATCTACAAGTTTCCAATCTCAATGATATCTTTCGAAGCGGGAAAACAACCTGCGCAATGCTTGTTACTGTCATTTGATGCATTTCATTTTTAGACTTTGAGTGTTTCCTTGCGTCTCCTTTTTCTATTTGGAATGGATTGGGTTGGAATAATTGAAGAGGATCTCAGGTCTTCTTCGGGAATACTTGGCAGGGAGCAGGTTGTGCATTAAACAAAGACGCTTATGTGTAACAAACATATATTTCTATTTGCATGGTATGACGAGGAAACACTGGAATGGTTTGAGGCCCGATTCTATTCAAATGCTAGATAGTTTTGTGCTTTATGCTGAATACATGTCCGATAAGCCCGTTTTCGTTAGGCACTCGATTCAACTGCTCGTTTTCACATATCTCTAATTGACAATGCTGATAGCAGGTCAACTTCTAGTTAAGGGAGACAATTGGAAAATTGAAGAAATATCACAAAAGGTATGTGATGACTATTCTACCCCTATTCTTGGCCACTTTCGTTGCCAGTGAAAGAAGACATGATGAAGGTGAAGGCTAATCAATTGATTCCAAAGAAGACAAGAAGGCTTGATCATTTGAAGCCGTTAGTTCTTCTTCTCAACAGGGTTGGCGAGCGCCTCGAGAATCTCCTTGAAGGACTGGACAATCTCCTCGCCGTGGTTCTCCTCCCACTCTTTCTTCGAAGCATCACCCAGCTTTCCCTCGCCAACAGCAAGGAAAGCTTCGGGCCCCACGCCGCCGGGGAAGGCAAGCTGGGGCCTAGTAGCAGAGACCCTGAGGCCGACGCCCTCGAGCGACGTCTTGACCTGCTCGGAGGCGATCTTTGCGCCGCTGATGCCGTAGCTGACGATGGCGGCGGGCTTGCCGTCCCACTCGTTCTTGAGGTAGTCGATTGCGTTCTTCGTGCTGCCTGCGACGCCGTAGTTGTACTCTGGGACGAGCAGGACGTAGGCGTCGTGGGAGGCGATTTCGGCGGACCAGCGCTTGGAGTGCTCGTGGATGAAGGAGCCGCGGGCGGGGACGTTTGCGGGGACGACGGGCTCGTCGAAGATGGGGAGCTTGAAGGTGGCGAGGTCGACGACGGAGAGGGTTGCCGAGGAGGAGGCGGCGGTGGGCTTGAGGATGTTGTGGACGAGGTCGGCGACGTGAGGGCCGACACGGGGGTTGCGGGTGCTGGTGATGATGATGGCTATTTTGGAGGCCATTTTGGAGGAGGATGCGGATGTGGATGTGGTGTTTGTGTGAGAGTGTGAGAGTGAGTTGGGGAGTTGAGTTGGACTGGATTGTGTTGATGAAGATGAGGCTGTGATATATATACACCAGTATATATATATATATGAAGACAGATGCCAGTATTAGTATACAATGAACACCACGGAGAGACTCACAAACTCCGAAGTATTCTTATCACGACCTAGAGATACGAAACACGACAATTCACGATCCAAGCCTCGTCTCGCCTGAGATCCCATGTTGACCATACTCAGCCCATATTTCCGACGTCCAAGTCCACAATCAACTCCGTAAGAACAAAAAACAGTGCTATCCCAGCCACGTTTTCTCTTCTCGCTTGACTGCGGATCACAGCGTTTCGCTCAAAAATCTTTAAGCACTTCCTCTTCCAAAGGCACTATCCATACTAAATCCTACATACTAATCAGCCGCATCTTCAACTCATAATTAGAGCACCATGTGTTACATGTGATAACAACTAATGACGAAGAGGCTCCAAGTCCAGAAAGGATCCGGGCGGCGAGCCTCCTGATTCGCCAGCTCTGAAAAACCCGCAACTATTACAACGGTTTCTCACAAGCGCGCGGGATGGGAATATGAAGAATAAGAAAAGTAAATTAGCAAAAGAAGAACGGGAGATAAAAGTCCTATTACTCTTCATCGCCTCGGCGTTGTCGTGTCTGATTGGGTGGTTTGGCTGGACAAGTCAGATGCGTAATTCCGACCATCCATGGAGCCGTTGTATATCCGCGTATGGCTCGGCATTACAGGCTACATGGAATTACGACTCCGTGCTTCATTCATGGGAGCCGTGCGGACTTGGGATCAAGTACCTCGGGCTTCATTTTGCTAGTCCTTGGTTGAGGACTTTGGCCCTGCTAGTCCCACTTCGACAGCTGGGATGCACAGTCCGCAAGACGAGTCTCGAGTCTCGAATCCGACTTACAACTTATACACTCTGACGTCTTTCGATGAGCAAAACAGCCACCGCTACACAACAAGAATGCCACCCTGTTTGTCTAGGTTTCCCCTGATTCAGCAAAATGCACAGAGATCAGATTAAATTCTATCATTTTTTTTTCTTGTCCTCATCATATTACATAGCCTGCCTCAAAATGGTCCGGGGTATCTATGCTTTTACATGCCCTCCTCAACTCCCCCCCTCAACCTTTTCTTACCCAACCTGAGCCTGTTTAGTCCTCATCCCAGTTCTGTCAAAGAAGAGTTAGCAACAGTCATATAAGTGTCTTACTGTAAAAATGTTCATAGGATAAGGATCAAAAACTTACAGGGTTGGGGCCAGGAGGCTTCGGCCCACCAGCCTGTCTCGCCACGATGATTTGGTCGACTGACAGGACAGTACGGGCGGCCTCTGTGGCCAGCTTGATGGCCCAGCTCTTGGATGCCAGCAGGTCGACAATGCCCTCCTTGGTTGCGTTCAAAACACCATTGCCCTCCTCGTTCTCAACGTCGACACCGGCATCGCCGCTCTCGCTCTTGTGGTGGGCGGCATACAGCGTGCTGAGAACCTCGGTAGCATCTAGACCGCAGCTCTCGGCCAGGGTGCGGGGAATGACCTCAAAGGCCTCACCGTACTTCTTGATGGCATATTGGCTGAGGCCAGGTGTCTTCTCACCCTGCGCCTGAATCTTTGCGCTCAGTGAAATCTCCGCAGCACCGGCTCCGGGGACCAGTCTGGGGTCCTTGGTGATGGCCTTGACAACGTTGACGCCGTCGTCAACGGCACGCTCAATATCGTCAAGGTGGTTCTGGGTGGCGCCACGCAGGACCAGTGTAGCGGTGCGTGTGACTTCGTCTTCTTGTCTGAAGACGGTAACCCGATCACCGCCAATCTCAATCGTCTCGACAACGTCAATGCTGCCCATCTCGTCGGGCATGGGGGCACCCAGTCGAGCCAGTGGGGTGGCGCCGACGACACGGCAGATTCGTCGCAGCTCGAACTTGCTGAGGATTCGGATGTAGAGAATGCCGTAGCGGTTGAGGTAATGGGTGGCCAGGTCGCCCACTCGGTCGCCACACACGACCACGCGCAGGCCTGAGTCGTAAAGCTCCTTGATTGCCTTTTCCAGCTGTGCCTCCTCGCCCTTGGTGAAGTCCATCATCTCCTTTGCGTTGTGTAACAGCACGGTTCCCTTGGTCTCTGTCTGGCTTGTGTCGATGGGGCACGTGAAGACACCAACCTTGGCGCGGCTGGCCTTCTTGACCGACCCATCGGGCTCCTTGGGGAAGACCATGCCCTTGACGACCCTGCTCTGGTCCAAGCTGCCACCCATGATCTTGACGACTCGGATGTTGTCGACGTTGAAGTTGGCGGGGTTCTTGGGCAGGACGGCCAAGACAGCCTCAGCCACCAAGTTTGACAGGAACTCCTCGTTTCCGTTCTGCTTGCTGGCGATGACGGTTCGCAGGGCCTTGCTCAGCTCAGCCTGGTCTTGGATGTTCTCCACCTTGTCCACTGAGAGCTCCTCCAGAGTCTCGAGAGCAATCTTCTGTGCCTTTTCGTAGCCGATGACAATGTCGGACGTCTTGAGGCCCATGCGCAGCAGGTCCTCAGCCTTTCGCAGCAGCTCTCCGGCCAGGACAATCACCATGTTTGTGGCGTCACCCATCTCAGCCTCCTGCTGTTGAGAGGCCATGACAAGCAGCTTGGCAGCGGGATGGACGACATCGAGCTCGCGGAGGATCGTGGCGGCGTCGGAGGTGAGGATCATCTTCTGCAGGTGGTTGATGACGACCTTGTTGCGGCCGTAGGGGCCCAGGGACGTCAGGACGGTGGACGTGATGGTGCGGCAGGCGTCGATATTCCGCAGCACGGCTCCATCTTCTGAGTCGTAGCTACAGACGTGCAAGTTGTCTTGTCAGCCACTGATCTGCTCTGTTCTGCTGTGCTTGCTCTGCTGTGCTTGCTCTGGCTCGTGGGCGTTGATGGCATGGCATGGCATGGCATGGGCATGGCGGGGTTGGCAAACTTACTTGTTGTAGCCCTTCTTGAAAAGGCCCGCGTTGGGCGCGTTGGGGATGTTGAGCGACATGACGGGCAATGCGAGGATCGAATCGGACGACGGAAAAGGAGAAAAAGGAGATTTGCCAGCAGCTTCGTTTCTCCCGCCCAGACACTCGAGTTTGGGGAGTCGACAATGGTCCCTCTGGAGCTCCTTGGGAAAATCTTGGGGGTGTGGTTGCTGGCAGCCTGGGGCACTTTTGTGGTGCTTAGCCAATCATGGCTGCTTAGGAAAGGGTGTTATTCCGCTTCCTAGCAGCTGCCCCTCCATGCGATTCTATGGGGACCGAGAACGTGCAAGACTAAGGGAAAAAAATAGGGGGTTTTGTATTATGGAGTTGGGAGAGGAATGGAGCATATGAGTAAGTAAGTATTAGTACGAGTACCTGTCAATGCTTGATGACAGATAAAATGCGTGATTGAATTTATTTGAGTGGGAGAGTATGAAGAGGATTGAGATGAGGAGTTGTCTTTTGGAGGAGGCAATCGATGCATACAGCACCCTACTACTATAGGTAACTACGTGTGATCTACAAGGATACATTGGTAAGGAATGGAAGCCTTGAAGCCATCATTGATAATCAAGAGCACCTATCCACTGCCTTACCTAGGTAGTTGGTATGGCCTGATGATATCCGAGTTATTGCTGTCGGCCATAACAGCAGTAATAATTCATCGTGGTCTATTAATGATGAGTCTGCCTCTAATTGGGCATTGCTGTAGCGATGCATACAGGCATAGATGGTACATACAAGCAGGTACTTCCCAGTTATTAGTGGCCGCAGCGCTGAAATTCGCAGCCTCGCAGCACTGCCCAAACGCGGCCCCTTCTCCAACAGACTACTATACCTACTAGGTATACCTCCAGTCTCACCCAAGATCTCATCATCCTACACCTCTTCTTTTCTGCATCTCCCCCCCATAGACACCAATTAGATGAAAATATAGTCTGCTGCACTTTGTCACGGCCCGTTCGCGTTGTCGTTGCTTTTCTTTTCTTTTTCTTTTCTCCGCTCTACTGTACACTCTCTTCTCTGCTCCCTCGTTTTTCTCACCTCCCTCCCTCACTTACAAAGTTCCAACTGCTCCTCCGTATCGCTATCGCACGCGTTAACCCGCGCCTTGTGGAGCGTCTTCCCAAGGTCTCGTTGCTAAGTTGCTTGCACGCTCGTACTGCCTACATTCCGTAGGTGTTTGCCTTGACCAAGCCAAAGGTACATGTACATTGGCGCGCCCATTGCCATTGACTCGGCGCATCTCTCCAATACGTACCGCAACCTATCATCATGGCGCCCCAGCCTTGTGAGTCCTAAACTTTTTTGTTTTCCTCCCTTCAACAACCTCCAATCGCTCCAATCTCCCGTCTCGTCCGCATCATTGCCGTGCCGCGTCAACGTGCGACTCCGAGAGCATCCGTCGCTTCGAGCAAAAGTCGCCGTCTCCATCTCCATCTCCATCCCATCAGATCGCGCCTCGCTGCGTCGCCTTGTATCCTTCGCATCTTTCGCGACAAACAACCGACTGCCCGACTTTCGGCTCTCGCCTGCTTGACCGTCGCCAACAATGCCTGCCAAGAGAAAATTGGTTGCCGAGGCTAACATTGAGCCAGCCAGCGTGCCCTCAACGTTGCCTCCGTCTGTCGAGGAAGCCTACCGACGTAAATGTGTCCAGCTGAAGAACCGCACAAACGAGGTCGAGGATGCCAACGACGCCGCCAGGCTCCGGCTCGCCCGCATAAAGCGCCAGGTTGAGAAGCTGAGGATAGAAAGGGCCTTTCTGCTTGAGCAGCTGGCCAAGCGCACCAGCACGAATGTCGAAGACTCCGAGGGCAGCCCCAGTCCGCCTCCTACGGTATGCTTCTTCCTAGTACTTCTTTTTCTTCTTTCTTTTTTCTTTCTTTTTTTTTTTTTTTTTTTTGATTCCTTTTATCGTTGTTTACGTTGCGCCATCCGACATGGTCGGGTTTCTCCCTCTCTCCCTCCCTCCTGCTCTTTTTCGTCTCCTTTGTCAAGATCGCGCGTTGCTGCTGCTGCTGCTGCTCCCTTTCCTCCCCACCAAAACACCTTTTTTCAGTGTTGATATTTGAGTGCAACGAAATAGGCAACCTCCTTCGATATCCCCACTGAATCGAATGCTAACCCCCGAAAGCCCAAGGATAAGCCTCTACGCATTAAGAAAGGTCACCGGAAGTCCAACGCTCCAGCTGACGCCGATGCAAAACAAAGCTCTGCAAAGGAGCCAACATCCCCGGCGTCCGAGTCCAATAGCCAGGCCAAACGTTCTCGCGCCAACGGCGTAGCCAAGTCCTCCAAAGAGCCCAAGACCGCCTTTGAACTCTACTGTGAGGAGGCTCGGCCGGCTCTGGAAGCCAAGGACAAGGATGATAAGGATGATAAGGATGACAAGGATGACAAGGATGATGCCGATGTGAATATTGATGAGGAGCTCAAGCGTGACTGGGAGGAGCTACCGGAAACGGAAAGGGAAGAATACCAGGCCAAGGCGGACCAATTGAGTAAATCCCAAGAGGAAGACGACAAGGCCGCCGCTGAGGCTGATGCCGAAAACGAGTCTCCCAAGAAGAGCAGCGTCAAGGCCGAGCCCGAGGCTGAAAAGCCAGAGGCTCACGACGACGATGTCGAGATGAGCAACTATGACACTGAGGACCAGGAGACCCAGATGGATAAGGACGGCGACGACTAAATAAAAGGGCGGCTACGCGGCTATGGGACGGGAGACGGCAGACAATGGTGCGGAAGGCGTTATTTTCTTCCATCTTGGTTGGTACAGGACAGAGACGGTTATGTTTTTTTTTCTGCTTGGCAATATTTTCTTTTTGTTCTTCTCTTCTCTAAACGATACTGTACTTGCCCGGGTGCATCTGTAATATGGAACATTGGATGCATGTACATTAAAGTAGCCAGCCAGTGCTTCTGAAATGCTACGGAATGGACATTTCCATGTATGCTAAGACGACGGTGTACAGCCTACATCGAGGTGAAAAGGGGGGTCGTACTTTCAATGGCATTGCCCTGTTATGCATTGTTTTCCACTGTAGAAATATACCAAGATTCGCTTCTTCCCAGCCATTGACGCCGCCCACCTCCGTGACCCTATTCGCTACGCGATAAATTCAAATGCCCCAAGGCAAAAACTCCATTTCTCCTACACGCAAATTCAAAGCCCGTTGGTTTCCAAGAAAAGGAAAGAAAAGGAAAAAAGTGTCTCTAAACTAGTCCGATCACACTTCCCCGGCATACAAATCAACAACAATGTTTATCGCAGCCACCAAGATTTCCATAGCAATCAAGATGATAACTAAACCAAGCCAGTCAGCATCCATTTTGGGGACAAACAGCAAGGGAGCTAAAAGGGTTCAAAACATACCAATCCATTCAAGCATTTCGCCGTGGCCATGAGTTAGCTGATCCTTGAGAACAGCCAGCAAGTCAGCAATAACATCTAACCGCTCCGTCACTAGGCCGACTCGTTGATCCATCTCTAGGTAGCTCCTGACAGCTTGATAGAGGGGTTCCAATTGGGGCTCTACCCAGAAGAGTTCGGGAGTATCCAGCACGGAGCCGTTGAGATGGATATTGATCCTCAAGATAAAGAGCTCTCCGATTTGCATGTTGATTTGTTTCCGGTTTAGAGCCACTTTACCCGTCAAGGCAATCTGAGTAGGAATGTCCTTGCAGGTGTCGATGGTGGAAGCAATGAGTTCCTCAAAGAGCGATGTCTGTTGATCCCGTTAGCCAAATGCGCATGCCCTTTCACCTCTCCCCTCTTCCTCAGCGGATTTCTCACCTTGACACTCTGTGCTAAAGCATGTGAGATGGCAAGCTTGGTCATGTAATTATTCTTGTCTCTCAGAGTGATAAAGTCGTTGTAGATCCGCGCTTGGTATTCCCGAGTATAATAAAAGTTGAAGTGCTCCGTCTCAACATCATCAGGGGCTAGCTTCTCCAATTCGAACTTGGCAATGTCTTTCAACATCTTGGCCTCTTGTGCTTCCGTCATGCCCCATATTACCACCACGCCGTAGTCGAACAAAAACACCTCTGGCATGTGCACCTGAATATCGAAATCTGGCACCGTGTCTTTTATGGGCATGTGCTCGGGCATAGCGGGGCCTAGAAGCTCTTCACTGGGGAGGTCGCCTGCCTCCTCTCGGCCTTGGTCAATCATCAGTCCCTCCCCGTAGCCAGAGTCTTGCTTATCACGACGCAGAGATCTGAATTGCTCTCGTTCGGTCTCGCCGTCTACCAGTTCGCCACCTGTAGAATGGCGCCTTTCATGATTTTGCTCGACAACGTCATGATTTCGCTGGCTTTTGCCGTACATGTAGGGTGTGTAGATACACTCGTCAATGAGCTTTGGATTCGCGCCACGAGTTTTGCCTCGTCCTTTGAGGAATCTCATCAGCCCTTCCATCTCATAACGATTTGCGGTACAGTACGCGGTGACGCGCGGCAGTCGATCTCGATCCGCCTTTCCGAGCCGCGCAGCATCTCTTCGCGCCGTCGGGTCCTTGATTCGGGTATACTGGGAATAGACATCCCTTCCGCTTTCCTCGTCTTCGCCCTCGTCGCCAAAGTCTGGGTTCGGGAGCAGCTTGAGCTTTTCCATCTTCTTGGTGCTTCTCTGTGGACCAATCTTGGGTAGCGACTGTGCCGGCGCAATCACGGGGACGAACCCCTGGCTATTTCGCCTGCGAAGTTTGCTATTCAAGGCTGCCAGCATTGGCGGGCCGACGATGCCGCTGCTGCTGGCCTGATGATTCACATTATGGGAGGCATAGCTCCTTGGTAGACGAGGAGGGTCGGGCTCGATGGTGCGGCTGACGGGGTTGGCGCTGAAGGTGACTGTTCGTACCGGCTTTGGTCGAGAGGCATCGGACGCGGGCAGCAGTGGCGTCGTCTCGCCAGCGCTCCTGTTTGCGGTGTCGGGGGATTCCATTTCGAATGCCAGAGGCCTGGAGCTGGGAGCTGGGAGTAAAGTAAGGGCTGCAGCGGCTTAGACTGGTCCCGCCGGAAGAAGGCTCTCTATCAGCAAGGAGGGTAGGAAATATGACAAGGTGCTAATTGAGGGTTACTTCCGCCTAGGTATCAAGAAGGACGGCGGCATTGAGAGCGATTGAATAGGTGAGCAAGGGATAGATGTGATGAAGAAGTTTGTGCGAGCAGAATACTGGAGGTTGCCAGCCAGCAATTGCTGCTCGATGACGGAGCAAGTCCAATTTTCCCTGGCCAGATTCGGCGAAAAGCGGTCTAGGCCCACCCCGGCACCTTAGTTGATCCCAGGTTGTACGGAGTAGCCAGAAGGTACTTCAGACGGGCACTTTAATGCGCTGTGCCAGTGGGCTCTGCCGCAGGCACATGCCTGAGAGTTACTGACAAGAATCAAATTAGAGCACTGCACGGCGCATTGCCTGCCCCACTGGAGCTTCGTGCAGGAGAACATGAGCAGATGGATACCTGGCCGGGCTATGGCTGCATGCGAAAAAAAAAAAAAAACATGTACTCACTTCTACGAGTACCTTACAAGTACCTTGACAGGACAGGTAATACACGGCGACAAGAAGCTTTCCAATGTTGCAAAATGCCAGTCTGAGGTTGTATAATTCTAGCAGCAATGCCCAACGTTATTGTATCCTGTCCTCTCGACAAACCTTGTTTTATTACACTGAACTCTAAAATTGTAGTCTTCAACTAGCCACAGCGTCTACACGCGCTTGAACTCCCAGAAATCATCCAGGCACTTCCGCTAACAATCTCCACTGACATGTTCTCCACAAAGTTGACGCATTGCTTCTTACAACTGACATGTTACTATGAGCTCTATGTGCCCAATGCAACATTGGCACATGTGCAGTCTTCAAGCACATAAAATATTGACAGATTATACAAATCGTCTCGAAACCGGTGCATAGGTACCTGTAGTTTTATCCACTGGCCTCCTTCTATAAATGAGATCTATTGAGCAGATCAAAGCATGCGACTGTCATAAATCAGTGGGATTTCTTCAATGTCCTCAAACTTCAAGCTATCAACTGAGAAACATTTCCACTCGTATAGCCGCCCAAATTTGTCATTTCCTCAGCCAGTCTTTCAAAGCACATAGCCGCCTGTCCCATCATCATTCACTTCTGCTGGATTCTCGTCTCCATCCTGAACCCGCCCACGCGAGCTCGGTCAATGATCCCCTGTCCAAGACAACATGGGGTATAGAACCCTCCATCTAGCTGGAGATCGTCCTCTAATACCGTTCGAGCACCCTCGCAGCAAAACATTGCCGTCACTGTAAATGTCCAATAGTCAGAAGCAGTGCTCAAGATGGACCATCTATTGGGGACGGTATTTTCCACTTACTCTGGTACATGCTGCCATTATACCAAGCTCGAACAAAGGCTTGCTTGTCAGTAGGCGACTCTGTATCGGGATTCGCAATGCCACGCCACTCGGCCTCTTCTTTATCCATTTCATCCCTAGAGGGACCCGTGCCTGGTGCCGGAACAAGCTTTCGGAATAGAGCTCTGATGGGAGGTCCGATAGCAACAAGCAACACTCCGAGAACGAGTACCCAGTGGATAATGACTCCATGCAGCCAATTGCGAGGCCTGTAGCATTCATTCCAGTGGAACTTTGGCCCGTAGAACTCGTCTTTTCGGCTAGGGATTTCTGATAAAAGCCCCCAAGAGCGTCCGATTACTCCTAGATCAGATCCAATTGTAAAAGACGTGGTGACCGTTCCAAGGTTCGGTACATAGTGGACGCCAAAAATCTTTTGCCAGATGGAAACGCTGGGCCTTTTTGGCTCCTCTGGATGAGGTATAGGGGAAAGCGCAAATGGTTTTTCAGACTCTACCAGCTCACTCAAGGTGAAGTGATCGAATACAGTGGTAAAGGTTGAAAGAGTGCCTCCAGAAGGAGTCGATCTGGGTGCTAGGCCTTTAGTATGCGCCCATCTCCAATGACGATATAAAAGGGAAGAGGGAAGAATTCGACTAACCGCATGTTGTGAATCGAAATGACGACGTCTTTTGTCCTGGCACCCATTTGCTTTCGCAATGTTTGAGCCAAAGACCAGGTTAAGAGATCTGCTGGCGCAGCCTCCAATGCCATCTGGGGAATTAGAATAGCGCCGCTCTCTGTCGCAGTCTTTTCATACTGCTTAATCATTTTATAGACCCATGGCGTCTCACCAGTTACATCAAAGTAATGCGTACCAGCCTCAGCGCATGCCTTTACAGCATACTCTCCATGAGCACTATACGGGCCGACAGTTGTAATGAGGACAAATGTCTTCTTCGCCAACGCACTGATTTCGTCATAGCTATCCACTTGCGCCGTTTCAATTGCTATTCCTCTGTTAATATTCCTGTTCTATAGAAACCTTTTATAACAGAATCGACTGATAGAAATGGCTATAGACGAACCTGGAGGGTTTCTGTCCGAGTGCAGCTTCTTGCAATCTTCGACGAGTCCTTGGAGCTTTGACTCGGATCGACCTGCAATGGCCCATTTCAAATTGACTGGGAAATTCGCAGTGATGTACTCAGCTGCCAAGCGACCGGTATATCCTACATTGCGCATAAACATTGGTGTGCATGAAATTGCGTCCCGGCTTGAACATCACATACCGGTAGCTCCAAAGACGACCAGGTCATACTGGCGATTGTGCTCCTTGAATGGCATTGTTGAGGGGGGAAAGGGATGCTGTAGGTCTAGAGAGATGATGGAGAGAATGAGGAGAATGCAAGGCTCTCTTGACCTGTTGGCCACGTTCATGCGGTTTCAGGATACTAATTGGGAGGAAGGATATAAGCTAATAGGCTAGTATTCGATTCCAATGCTTTCTGTTATAGGTACTAGTTTCATACAACTCTGTCTACGCCATAATGAAGCTATACTTAGATAGGTACGAAGTACGTTGACTCCAAAGAAAAAGGCAAAACTGCTATGGTTTCAATCCAACCGAAGCAACCGCCTGCAGGAGGTGGTCACCTGTTGATGAAACCATTCGCTCATAGCTGGGGCCCACAATAAATCACATCATCCAATCCAGACACACGGAGCGAACACGATGAAAAAGATGGGGAATTATGGGGATAAGAGGTTAGACGGAGTGCAAAATCACGTGATTGGAAATAATTTCTTATCGATAGCGATTCAAAATGAAAAACTGTGGTGGGGCTTCGCTTGGCCCGTCGCTCACGTGCGTGCCCTAAGGAAAATCACAACTCCAGCTTTCCAACACATTTTCGTGAGAGCAGCCTCCAACCGAAGTCAAGCATCCAAACATCCCCATCCCTACACAAATCCGTCAAGATGACCAAGCGCACCAAGAAGGTCGGCGTGACGTACGTATACCCTTTGGATGGAACAAACTAAACAAACGAATGTCTGCTAACTTGTTTTCAGCGGTAAATATGGTACCCGGTGAGTCTCAAACAAGCATATCAAACTCCATCCTCAACCCGAAATATCGACCCCGAGCCCGACGAAACGAGTTATCAATTGTCTTTGCGCGGCCTTCGTTCCAATCCCTTGAGGAAGAGCTGTCAGATCTACTGGCTGTGGCTATCGCAGTCTCACGAGACATGATACTCGATACTCGAAACCTATCACAAGCGGATGGCAAATTCAGGATGAGCTGGCAACTAACGCAACTGGTTATAGTTACGGTGCCTCCCTGCGAAAGCAGGTGAAGAAGATGGAAATCACCCAGCACGCCAAGTACACCTGCACCTTCTGCGGAAAGACCACCGTCCGAAGAAAGTCTGTCGGTATCTGGAACTGCCGCGCCTGCAGCCGAACCATTGCTGGCGGTGCCTACACTGTTGCGTATGTTGCCCACCAACCACAAGAAGCTGGATATACCACGAGCACGCCGTTCCCCGGAAGTAAATACTGACTTTGCAATTCTCAACAGCACACCTGCCGCCGCTGCCATGCGATCAACTCTGCGACGATTGAGGGAGATTGCTGAGGTTTAAGGTGTTTCTTGGTAAAACGGTTGAAGGGATCCGGCTTTGCTTTTCGGTCTGGTGTATGGGGGACATTGTTTGCGTGCATACACTACGTTGACGAAAAATGAACGTCGACGCTCGATCTTTGGTCATAGACACCGGTCGATAGGCAATGAACAAAAAAAGGAAATTGCATTATCTCGGACACCCGAACTAAGAAATGATTTGATGCCATGGATCCTAGCGCCTTGTGAAGGGAAATTTGTCGACTGGATGATTATACGGTCCAGCACGAGCCGATGCTGAATTTGAATTGTCGCAAACAAAGGCGTCTTGGGCAGACGCAGCCGCAGCAGTACACGATGTATCCGCCCATGTCGTTCCAAAGACGCCGATTACAGCCATCAACAGCAGCATTCACCGAACAGGTTCCAGGCTGTCGCTCTTTTTCTTTTCTCTTCTCCTCCTTAACCAGTATCTCCATCCCGATAACGACTTGATCCGCCAGGCACAGGTCACAAGGGTTCGTATGCGGTACTTTCCAAGTGGGAGTCACACTCTGCCATCAAAACTTTTTGGCGACGACTGTAAACGAAATAGATGCTCCTCCTCAGCGGTGCCCATCATCGAATGGCACGTGAGCTCTCCAAACCCAAGATTTTCACCAGCAAAGGCGTGCCAGATAAAGTGAGAACAATGCAAGCATGCTAACTCAAGTTGTCCAGGTGCTAGCAACTCTGGCATGGCGCAGTGCTTCGTATCCATTCGCGGCTCATGGGATCAATGACGACCCGATAGCGACAGGGTTGAGTGGGGTTTTCGGCATAGATGGCGCTTTGGTCCAATGCAAGTGTATCACATTGCATCAAATGATTACCAGATGGCCACAACCATGGGTTTATTTGCTGCCTCTGGTAATTAACTGTGGCCATATTACGCCCCGGCAGAGAGTCGAGGGAGTGGCCCGTCAAGTGACGAATGCAGCTGTGGTTCCTTGCATGCACAGACTGGGGCACGCACATAAAGTCCCTCTCTTTTGAACCTTTTATTGTATTTATTTTCTTAAAACTTTCCATCCTTTTTCATTCTCCAATAGGATCGAGTGCTGCAATGAAACCAATAAGACCTGCAAATATGCCAGCCCAGGTGCTAACGTGCCCCTTCCAAGCCGCGGTATAAATGCACTTAGAACTACCAAGGTACCTCCGGCTACAGACAACTCTCTCATTTTCGACCAAAGTGTAATAACTGGATAGAAAAATAAAACTTAGATTACAGGGAACTTGAAAAACGAGAGACAAAAAAACGTTCCAACCGTAGTCCCCGACATATCCCCTCCAAGCACCCCGCTTAGGTAGCCCTTTGGATGGGATTTTCCCCTTGGGATCGAACCCAATTCTCGAGAGAGAGAAACACCCTTGTCTGTCGATCTACCTAGTATTATTAGGCATAGAAATGAACCCCATGGCGCTCTCTTTCTCTCTCGCTCTTCTCCCTTTCTGCTGTGTCCAGATGGGATGCATCTTTGGTTACCGTTACACATGCCTTGCTCCCACGCGCCCTACCGTATCTAGGTACTACTACCCATAGTAGTACTTAACACCTTAGTACTACCTTGGTAGCACCACCCTGGCCATGGCTCCCATCAGAGACGCATTCCGCCATGTAACTTTACGACATCCGGAGTAGCAGGTGTTTTTCGCCTAGTGCCGTAACAAGTCGCATGCATCCATACAGGCCAACCCGGATGACTTCCCATACGGTACTAATGGACGCTTGGGACTTGGGAAGGTCCCTGGCAATCTGGCTCATGGCTGGGCGGGATTTGTATTGATTTGTACCATTTATTCGTATACCTGTACTGTACTTAGATTGCTTCGTACATGCACGCCAGAGGCTTTGGTCAGCCTACCTACCAGAATGCTACCCCTTGTGGCCGAGTCTGGAGCCAGTCTCTGGGCCAATGGCAAATTTCATGTTTCATCACCGCGAAAATGCACGCCCGCCTCGGCACGTGAGGCCGACGAGCCCTTTGGTGCAAGGCATCATCCGCCGAAACCCACCTGGGAGGTACCCAGTCCGGTTGAACCTTGTAGGTACCTGGTGGTTTCTTCAGATTGCCTGCCCGTCCAACCGTCCTATACCTTGATGTCTTCTAGGCTCTTAGTACCTAGGCCCACCTTAGTACCTGTATAAACCAGGGCCTGTCTTGATGTTATTATTATCATTACTATTCCCAACATACGAGTATTGAAGGGCCTGTCTGGTATTGCCAGTATCCGCCCACGAGGCACTGCCGCAGCTGCAAGGAGCAAAGGAATGCGCGCGTGCTGATGGCGGATATACGGAGCACTATAATCGTAATCTGCACTTTGCACCTTTTGGCTCCTCGTCTGAACGTACTTGTACCTACTAATCTATTGACCCCATAATACCTCTAGTACGCACAGCCGTTTTCCCTCTTTCTTGCATGACCTTTTTTTTCTCTCTCTCGGTTCCCTTGCGGGCTGCTAAGCGTCTCGCCTAAGTACCTAATGTTAATGCACTCCCGTACTCTAATTCTAGAGTCCTCAGTGCCTGTACCTGTACCTACTAAGGTAGCCTCCAAACAATCTTGAACTCACGCTTCCATCTCTTGTCCTTGCCAGGCACCATTATTACTTTCCTCCTCTCCCCAACGACAGCTTCAAACCACCCGTTCTGTTTGTTTCGTAATCCCTATTGGCTTCCACTCCAGCCTCCCAACGCATTCTCCAGTATTCAACGTCGTATCAGCTCGGTGCTGATTGATAGCTGATACGAGGTGTGACGTCCGTCACAAGGCAGAGCCTCTCTTACTTGCATGGTAGCACGGAGCACGCACACGGTTCCAGTACGGGTACTAAAGCAGGTGAGTACAGTACCTGCTACCTGCTAGTACCTGAACGCTGTCCCCAGCGCAACTCTGGCTCCCGTGCAAAGTACATGGGTACATGTGCTGGACGTGAGGTAACGTCTGTGCTAAGGCCCGGGAAAAAAAGTTCATGTTGCAGCTTGATGCACCTCAAAGTCACTCCAAGACACCCTAAAGATTCTGTCTCCCTGCACTTGAAAGAGCACAGCAGCGAAGCAGCAGCCAAAAACCCACTCACTCACTCACCCACTCACTCATTTGCTCAGCTCGACTCGAACTCGTCCTCGCTCTTGTCAGGAAAGGAATCGTCAAAGTACCTACCTACCGTCGATTCACGCACGTCTCTCTCTCTCTATCTCTCTCTCTGACGCTCACTCACGCTCACTCACGCTCACGCCGAGAGACATTCCCCATCCCCCCTCCTGTGGGCATCTGCCGCCACCTCCAGCATCCAACAACGGCTCAATGACAGGCGTGGCTCCTCCAGCGCTGTGACTCGCTGATTGGCCCCGCCCAGACCCCTAACAGGCCTGCGCTAGCCTGCCAGAGCCCGCCTTTTCCAGGCTGTCTCTAGCTGAACTCTCCCTCTTTCAATCCTGCCTGCAGTGCCTGGACGCTCACTGTGCGCGCTACCAAGCAAAAGCACCGCTCACTTTCCACCTTGTACCAACCAGCTCGCCCGCTTCACCACTAATACAAACCATCAAATCATATTAGCCTTCATACCAAAACCCAGTTTCTCTCGCTGCGGCACACGCCACAAACCGCCGGTTTCCCACGTTCCAAAACCACCATTTTTTGCTCCATCAGGCACTGTTGACCTCATTGTCTTTTTACATGTTTCCATCAGTTTCTGGCGTCTGTCATCACACCCGGCATCATGTCTGAGCCTGACCAGTGCATCATATGTTTGGATCCGCTGCCGCGCCCCTCGTCCTCGTCTGAGAGCAACCAGGCCGCCGTCGACACCGCTACAGCTTCCATCGCCGACGCCGTCGAGGGCGATTCCAGCCATCTCAACATAGTGGCGGCTCTCGATGGCTGTGACCATATAATCCACGATGCTTGCATTCGGTCTTGGGCCCAAAAGACCAATACCTGTCCCATTTGCCGCAAGCCCTTCCACTCTGTTCGAGTCTACAACGGCCAAGATGGTGAGTCTAGGCTCTAGCAGCCCCTCTACTTTACTTTACTCTACTCTACTCTACTCTACTCTACTCTACACCATACGCACCTCTACCTCTACAAACACAACGCTGGCAGCTGCTAACCTCTGGCTGGGAATTCTACAGGCATCGCCATTTCAACCTACGACGTCGAAGATAAAAAGCAAGTTGCCGAGTTCGATGTGCAGCAGTGGCTTGGAGAGAACCCAGATGAAGAAGAAGAAGAATCCAACCCATGCCCCATCTGCAACTCGGCAGAGCGAGAGGATATCCTCCTGCTTTGCGATGGTTGCGATGCAGCTTACCACACGCACTGCATCGGCCTCGATTACATCCCCGATGGGGACTGGTATTGCATGGAGTGTGCTCATTTGTTCCAATTGACGGACGAACAACCAGAGCCGGCCGCTGCCTCAGAGACCAGCCCAAGGCCCCAGCCCGCTCGCCGTCCAACCGCTCGAGCGAACCGAGGCTTCCACGTCCGCACCCGCGCTCGTCTCAGGCGAGCACGCCGCCAGGCACGCAACCTTGAGTGGCAAGGCGCCTGGGGGCAGTTCTCCGGCCGCTTCTACGAGATGAGCGAGCTTGACCTCGATAACCATGACGACGAGGACGAGGATCTTGAGCGTTTCCGCAGGTTCCAGCAGCTCGATCGACGGGAGCTGCAGCGATGGCAGCAACGGATAAACATTGCACAGCGTCTTGGTGCGCAAGAATCATTTGCAAGCAACATACCGCCGCAGATTAGCGAACGCCTCCAGCCCTCACTACCGCCCGTTGAGGAAACGCGGGATGAGAGGCGTGCCTGGGGAGCACTAGATCGTGCTCGAGAGGCCGAGGGCTCTAGCCCAAACACTCGCAAACGAAAGGCTCGGTCTGTAACAGGTTCGCCTATTGAGCAGCCCGCTCAGGAGCCCGAAAGAAAGCTCAAGCGCCCTCGAACCAGACGACTCCCAACACACGGGGAAAGTTCTGCAACAACCACTCTTCCGGCATCGGCCGGTCCGTCCTCGGCAAGGGTACCAAATGGTACTTCTTTGAGAAGCAACAATGTCATCAGTGCTAGCCGGGACGATGCTGAGCCAACTTTGGTCGTTTCTTCCTTGCTCAAGGAGCTGGAGCCCAACATCCACTCGGAAGATGAGGCATCTGGCGCCGCCTCTGGTTGGCGCCCTTTCCATGAGGCATCATCGCCGGCTCTCTCTCCATCACCATCCGCATTCAGCAGCCCACGGGCTCTTTCACTAACACCACCTCCATTGCCCAATCTCAACGGACGGCCATCCTCTCCGACTCTGTCTCTCAGCACGCACATCGAACCAGTATACCCACCTGCGAATTACTCACCCACCCGCTTCAGCAGTAGCGACCACAGCGACTCCGAATCGCCACCAATAAAGCTAGAAGTTCGTGGTGGCCGAAGCGAGAATCGACTCGAGAGTCGCCCTCTAGAGCTTCGCCAGCCTCGACCGCGGCGCGCGCATGAGACGTCGCCAGAGTCCAGTCCGACGCGGGGTGGCGATGAGAACTCAATGAGACATACAATGACGACTGAGGAAAAGAAGAGCGTCAATGACATTGTCCGCAACGCGCTGCGGCCGCACTGGCGGGCTCAGAAGTTGACGGTAGAACAATATGCAACAATCAACCGTGATATATCACGAAAACTTTACGACGAAGTGAAGGACGCGTCCTCACTTGATGATGAATCTCGACGACAAACATGGGAGAAGAGGGTCACCCAGGAAGTGGCCCGGGCAATCTCCGAACTTCAAGCCTGATCACGGGTGCACAGCATTAAGCATTTGGTCTGGCGTTTCAAGGCTTTTGTCGGCGGTCCATATCATGGTTTGATACCCCCAGCCTCATTGACGGCGAAGTGCATTTTAGTTAGGGACACCGAGGTGTAATAGGAGTCGGGCATTTGTTTTGTAGTTCTGGTCATATTGAGGGCGGCTGTCGATACTGCTACAGCGTATTGCGATTCGTGCTTTGAATATGTATCGTGTTTGTCATACATGTTCTCTTTTTTTTTTTTTTCTGTGGGCGGACTTCTAGGGCTTAGAACTAGTTGAATGAGAGGTAGTTCCAATCAATTTCGATCCCAGCCGAAGTATCCATGGCAGAAGGAGGTTGTACACCTGATTGAAGAGATTTTAGCCAACGGGTCCTGAAGACTCGAGAGGAGTTTACCGGCATATATTCAACGAGGAAACCACAAGCCGGTAGCACTTCTCAGGAGATCGGGTGCCATTTCGTTGCGCTTGGTTGATAGAGAAAGAAAGAGAGAGAAAGAAGGAAAAGAAATCGGAGTTTTCATCGAGCGACGACGGATTTTTCTTTTATTCGCTCTCACGAAAAATGGCGACAAGAAAACGGAGAATGGGAAGCGAAAATGGGAAACGGGAAGATCTTCATGTGTAGTTAGTACGACAGTGGGGTGGAAACACTAAAATGTCGCAAAAAAAAAAAAAAAAGCAACACGAGAAAAAGACCGAAAGGCTCTCATTTGGAATTGTAGCAAGAATGTAAGCAGTATCTATCTAACAGAACCCAGTGGGAAAATAAAAGAAGGTGCCGCTAGCGAAAAAGACTGCATCTAAATACTCTCGGCACACGAAAAATGATCAGGACGCTGTGGAGGTGGAAAGCAAGGTCTTGACGATAAGGAAATGGTGCCTTGGAGAGAAGAAAAGGGAAAAGAGAAAAAGAGAAGAGGATTTTTTGGCGGGTGGGAATTATCTAGTTGGAAGTGCGGCTTTGCGGGTTGTGGCCTGAGGCAGCACCGGGCTACACAGCGGAAACCTTGTGCTTGGCTTTCCCAGCTACCACTACTAGTGGGTAGTAGTACTTTGTGTTACTAGCCGTGAGCTTACATAAGCCAATCGGTTGGTGGGATGAGGTGCACCAAAAAAGTTCGAGGCGTAAGACATCACGACAAAGTTGTGGTGGTTGCCTGTGGTTTTATAGAGCAGCCAGCCCGGATTCCGCCATGATGGCAGCCTCAAGTAGAGGCAGCAGAGCCGTTAGAGGCATCCTCTCATGTAAGCAATCCTTGTGGCCGCCAATTGAATCAAGAGACTGACCAAGAGTCGCAAAATGCTGCAGCATCAGCCTCCCCCACGCTGTGCTCCAAATGCGCAACCACTTACAAGGCATCATCTGCCCGGTTCTACTCTGCCGCTGCGGCGACTGAGGCCAAGGCTGCTGCCGTCGACACTCCTCCTCCGGCACCCTCGGCCAGGAGTCCGTATCCTTATGATGTCCGCTCCGGCCTCATCCTCACACGACCGCCGCTCTTGACGAGAACTCTGCACCCCTTCGAGAACGCCTTCTTCTTCTACCAGAAACGGCTAGAAGAGCGCCTCAACACGCCCTTCATCACGAGCATATACTTCAAGCCCGACACGGCGGCGCAGCTGGACTGGAGCCTCAAGGTCCAGGAGCGCGGCGGCACCGTGGCCAAGGAGCTGGGAGCTTACAAGGGCAAGAACTCCAACGCCTGGGACGACGAGCTGAGGGTGGGTGACAAGCTCAGTGCGCAGGAGACGGTCCTGGAGAGTCTGCTCAAGGACGCTGCGCCCCGGGTCAGTGACGATGCGGAGGTGATTGCGCCTGAGGACGTTGTGCCTGTGGAGAGGCCTGCGGAGAGATTGTCCGAGGCGGATCAGAAGAAGGACGTGAGGCGGCTGGATCGCCAGATGGACAAGACGCTCTATCTTGTTGTCAAGGGGGCGGACGGATGGGGCTTCCCTGCTGATGTTCTCAAGGATGAGAACCTCCACGAGGTACGTTTTATTAGAGTTGATTTTCACACTTGGGAGAAAGGTTTCTAACACGGAACGTGAAAAACAGGGCGCAAAGAGAGTGCTGGACGAAGCTGCCGGCGTCAACATGAACACCTGGCTCGTCGGCCGCGTCCCCGTCGCCCACCTCGTCCAAGAGCCCGTCCTCGGCGCCAACGGCCAGGTCGAGAAGAAGGGCCGCAAGACGTTTTTCCTCAAGGGAAGAATCATGGCCGGCCAGGCCGACCTCAAGGGCAACCCCTTTGGATACACGGACTTTAAGTGGCTGACGCGGGAGGAGCTAGAGCAGGAGTTGGCGCCGGAGTATTATCGCGGTGTGAGGAATATGATGGCTGACCGGTAAGAGAAAAGAAAAAGAAGGGGGGGCGGGATGTGTATTACGATGATAAAAAAGGGATGTCAATGTCTGAAACTTGTAACATTATGAATTGTATAATTTACTCCATTATACAGAGCTTCATCGCGGCTGTTTGAACTATATGTATTGGGGCCTGCTCACACTTTGCCTTGCTCAGTTTTGCCATGATGCTCCCAAATGAGACTACAACGTGAAATAGTCCTACGACTTGTCGTTCCCGATATCTTTCAGGAATCAAAAAAAATGGACATTCTGCTGCTTATTTATCCAACAGATTGTCACTTGTTATTGAGCCATGTACATCAACGCAAAACCCTTTCGTATCAAAACCGGCCATGACAGCCAAAAATCATTGTGGTATAATGGCCAATCTTCAGCCTCCTCTACCTTGACCCTTTTCCAAGTCTGGTAATCCGAGGCTACATCACCCATGAGTTTTCATTACATCGAGATAATCTCCCTATATTAGCCAGCATTCATTTCTTTCATACAAAAGCTACAGCAATAGTAACCAGCCCTTCCAAAAAGCACACACGGGTGACCGCTTTACCCAACGCCGTTACGCCGCTTTCCGCTTCCCGATTTCCAGATTGTCAAGTACCGCTGGTATTTATGTTCAGTTCAACCAACGCGGCATACTGTCAATGTACCAGCACACGCTCCATTTAGTTTGGTTTGGCCTGTCCCTCAACAAAGTTGAGAGCGTCCTCCGTGCTAACACAGTTGATGGAGCTTGTCTTGTTACGGAACGTCACTCCATAGCACTTGTCTGCAATATGAACAATCTCAGGTCGGAAAGTGGTGCAGATAAACTGGGTGCCGGCCTCGTTAGAAATGGACTCGAGAAGTGACGCAACGGCAGTTCGGTATTGCGCATCCAAGTTGGCGTCGACCTCATCGAAAATGACCATGGGGCTGCTTTCGGTTTGCTGCAGCGCAAAGATGAGGCAGAGAGCACACAAACCTAGGGGGCATTCAGGTTAGTGGCAAGGTACAATATTTGGGCAACAGAGGGGGGCACTTACTCTTCTGACCACCACTGAGCTGCTGGATCTTTTGCTGCTCATCAAGATGCTTGGAGTTGAAAGACACGCTAATACCAACGCCGATATAATTCTCAACACTGCCTCGTGCTTCTTCGTCCGACTCCTCGGCATCTTGACGGCGATCTGTTTTCCTTTGGATGACCAGACGGCCATGGCCGGCCGGCACGAGCTTGCTGAAAATGGTGGCAAACTCCTTGGACACCTGCTTGAAAGTACGCTCAATGGCCTCATCCTTTCGCCGGTCAAGGTGCTCCACAAGCTCTTCAATGGATCCCTGGGAATCATCCAATTCCTTCCGGCGCTTCATCAGTTGTTCCTGCTGCGTCGTGAAGTTGTTGTACTGCTCAAAGGCCTTTTTATTGACGTGCTTGTACTTTTTCAGCGCTTCGTTGACCTTTTTCAATTTTGATGTAATCTACCGAGCACGTTAGTTTAGCTTTCCCTTTCTTCTCTCAGTCTGTCTCACGGGAGAAGCAGTAACTTACGGTATTGGCCTGCATGTTCTCATATTTGTCAAAGGCTTCTTCGGGCAAGACTCCCAGCTCCCGGATATTTTTCGCGCATTCTGCAGCCTGTGAAGTCAAAAGAGCCTTTCGCTGCAGCGTCTTCTCCATCCTCTTCTGCTGCCTCTCGATTCTTGTGGAGATCTCCAGTTGAGTCTGCTCACGATTGGCTTTTTCAGATTCGAACTGCTCAAGGCGAGAATTGAGATCATCGAGTTGGGCCTCAGTCTGGCTCAAATCAGCCTCAACGGCCTTCAAAGCCTTTTGAGCCTTCTTCAACTCGCGCTCAGCCTCCTTCAAGCTACCCGACGCGCCACCAACCGAAGAATTCTCAAACGCTTGACTGTTGAGCTGATCCAGCTTCATTTGAAGATTCTGCCGCAGGTCAATTTCCAACAGCTGCTTCTGTCTTTCCAGGACTCTACGGTTGTTGCTAATTTCATTCCACTGCTTCTGCAATTGCTGGACGGTACGGCTTGATCCTTCCAGCTCGCGCTCCTCAGCTGCTGTCAGTGTCTTTTTGAAGTCGGTGCCCAATTCGGACTCATGAGCTCCAACTTCCTGCAAGAATCCATTCATGTTCTTTTCAACCGCATCTCGCCTCCTGATGGCCCCATCAAGACGGCTTCTCTCGTTCTCAATGTGAGATGACCTGTTTCGAAGCTCGTGCTTGAGCGGCTCGAAGCCATCTTCAGCTTGTCGGAGCCTCTGCTCGAGTTTTTGAACTTCAGACATGGCGCCAGTGATCTCTTGGTCCTTGAGCTCAATCTGCCTGCGAATGTTGCGGGATTGCTCAATGAGTCCCTCATACTCCTCTCTCCATTTGTTGGCAGCCTGTACAGCTTCCAGACGTGACTTCCGAGGGTCGATATAACCACCAGTCATGGCACCGCGCTTATTGGTAGTATCACCTTCTGCTGTGATACCATCCACACCGTGGCTCCTGGCGTACTGAGCAGCCACGGCAAGATTGGGGCACACAACAACTTTTCCGAATACCTGCTGGAACGCCTTCTCAAACTTGTCATCATAGGTGATCTTGCTCAAGAGGGGAACCGCATCGTTGGAATTTGGATAGTTTACTTTGCGTGGACGAAGCTGGGCCAACGGCATGAACGTGACTCTACCGCCATGCTGTTTGTACATAGTATCTGCGAGGTAGGTAGCGGTATCGGCATTGTCCACGACATAGTGGAATAAGCTGGCTCCGGCAATTTGTTCGACGGGTAGTCGATATGCGTCACTAACGTCCAGTAGGTCTGCCAATGTTCCGTAGGCACCCGGGATATCTTGTTCCTGCTTCAATCGGCGTATAGTAGCCAAACCACGAGCGGTGGCTCCATCTACAGCATGGGCCAGCTCTCGCTCAGCGTGCTCCTTCTCTTGCCTAGCGTTGGAAATAACAGAGTTGAGTTTGTCATCTTCTCGACGAATGAGCTTTCGTTCATCATTCAATCTGTCCAGCGTAGCCCGTGCCAGGGCAGCTTGGTCCGCCACCTGGCCCCTGTCGCCATTCCAGTTGGCTAAACGGGAGCGCAGTTCGGCAACCTCACTCTCGCCCTGCTCAATTGCCTTCTGGATTCTGGTAACCTCCTCATCAGCGTCCAGTTTGTTTGCCTTTTGGGTGCTGATGGTCAAACTGAGCTCCTCGATTTCCTGCTTGAGCCAAGCATCACGCTCGGCACGATTCTTAAATCTAGAGCCACGGCTTTGCTTTGCAAAGAGGCGTGAGCGTGACGCCTCAACGGTATCCAGCTGCCTCCTAACTTCGTCTTCTTCGTTCTTCGTCTGCGTATATTGGGGAAGAAGCTGCGCTAGCTCATTTTCCTTGGTCTTAATCTCACTCTGTACGGAGGAGAGCTCGGAATCATGGCGTTCTCGTGCTTGTTCCAGTGCAGACTGTCCTTCTCTCAGATTTTTAACTTTGAGCTCAATCTTGGCCAGCAGCTTTGCGTTATCGCGTCTATCTTCCTCCTGCTGGCGTCGATCAATTTGCAGGAGCTCCAGCTCTCTCTGCAGCTTGTGAATTTCGGCGTCAATCTTGGAGATTGCCTTTTCTCCCTCCAGAAACTGTGCGCGGCTCGAATCTGTATTGTCCAGGCCGTCTTGCCTGGCATTATCGATTTCTTCAAGGGCAGCCTGGACAGTGGTTTGCTCTCGGTGGTGATATGCATACTCCAAACATCTCCTCTCTCGGTCTTTCTCCTGGAAACCTCGCAATTCTTCCTTTTCTTCTTCGAGCTCTGCCAGCCTCTCCTTGATATACTCAAGGAGTTCGTCAATCTTTTCTCGCTTGTTGTTCGTCTCAGTCATAATCTTGAGGGATTCGGCGCGGCGGGCTTCGTAGACTTGTGTACCCGCAACTTCCTTGAGCAGATTCAATCGCTCCGACTCTTTCATGTTGGTCAAGGCGGTGACGCGACCTTGGGGCACGATATAGTACGGGTTGGAGCGTGAGAAGCCTGCCGCCTCGAGCAGGTTTGTGACATCCGTCTTGGTCACAACCTTGCGGTCGACCGAGTATTCGTCCTTCTTGAGACCAATGGTGCGTCGCAGCACAACTTCTTTGCCTCCGGTCGGAAATCGGTCGTCGCTATTGTCAAAGATGATCTCAACGTAGGCCGACATGACAGCCGAGCCTGAACCTTCGTGGAGAAGACCCTGGCGCTCTTCACGGCTCATCTGCGTGTATGCATCGCTGAGGACGAAACGAATCGCCGCGAAGAAGTTACTCTTTCCCGATCCATTGCGGCCGACGATGACGTTGGTCTTGGGAGAAAAGGGCTCAATGACCGTCTGGTCCTTGTAGCTATTTGAGGACAGTCAGCACACAAAGTGTGTCTCAACAACATGGCGGGGTTGCGAATCCGCACCTTTTGAAGCCTTGGATGATGATTTGCTTGATATACATGGTCGGCTGCGCGGGCGCCGATGCGCAACATCCGAGAGACCAGGAAGCTGCAGACTTGAACTTTTTGCCGCGGGTTGCGCAAATTCAACGGAGTGCAAATGTTCTCTGCGATGCGACGCGTCTCGTCTGGCCCGCGATTAATCAGAGACTTGGAGTCGCGTTGCACCAGCCCATCTAAGATTAGCGCCTAAAAAATCAGGTGTCGATGATAGCTCTTGCGGCTGTCTGCTTAGGTACCAGCTGCTGCGGCTTAAGCTTTTTGCGCGCCTAAAGCTACGGGCGCCATCTTACCCTACATCTCAGCGATTGGTGGTCATCATGGCAGAATCAAACATGCAATGGTGCAATGGCTCTTTTTTAGCCACTGGTTCTGTTATCGAAATTTTGGAGTACATCTTGTATCATAGCTAATATTTACTATAATATTATCAAAAAGTTAATTGTCTTGGTTTGGGAAAAACACATCAGCCAGGGCGTCAATCGGTCCAAGAGAATCCACTCGAGAAATGCACTCCAGATACTACC